GGAACTCACATGGTAGAAATAATCCTCTGACTTTTAATGGAGGGCCTTGGCATATATATGCCCTGACCCTCACACACACTAGACAAATAAATCTCCATATCTCCACATTCAATAGTGTTTTCTCCAATTACACTGAGAAGAGAAAAATGATTCAACATGAACTTTATTATTATGTTGGGTTTATGAGATAGGGTTTCTTTGTGTAGCCTTGACTGTTCTGGAATTCATTGTGGGTTGTGCCAAGATTGCCGGGCAAACTTTTTTTTTAAAAAAAGATATACCTTTATTATATTGATTGATTGATTGATTGATTGATTGATTGATTGAAACAGTCTTAAGTAGGGTTGGCAGTCCAGGAACTCTTGTAAATCAGGCTGCTTTAAGACTCACAGAGATCCACATGCCTCTATGCTGATATTAAAAAGTGTGTGGTGAGCCGGGGGTATAGTGGTGCACACCTTTAATCCCAGCACTGAGGCAGGCAGATGGCTGTGAGTTCAAGGTCAGCTTGGTCTGCAAAGTAAGTCCAGGACAGCCAAGGCTACAGAGAAACCCTGTCTTGAAAAAGAAAAAAAAAAAAAAAAGTATGTGGCCTCATGCCCAGCAAGATGTACTTTCTTAGACTATTATAAGTCTTTTTCTTATCTAGAGACAAAAGTGCTGCAGCGAGCTTTACCTAGGATTGAACCTAGGTCCTCCAACCATGCTAGCTAGTCAAGCACTCGACCACTGCACAGTACTCCTTGTTTATTTTAGACTTTATTTACTGTGTGTAGTCCAGGCTAGGCTCTAGCTTGAGATCTCCAGCACACCAGTTAAAAGATAAATCACTTGAGTCGACAAATGAAGATCTGAATTCCAAGTCTAAGCACAGGGAAGTCTTTGACTCCACATGTCTGGTCTTGCACATGTCATGTCTCTTGCAGAGACAACATCGGAAGGGGAAACTTTCTGTGTTTTGGTTTTGAAGCAGGCGGTGGTGCTGAGGGCATCCTCTGACATTATAAGAAGACAGCCTTGAACTTTATAAAGTCAAGCTTGATGTTCACTTCCTGGGCAAGCAAGTCACCAGCACAGCTTTACACAAATCTTCATCATCTGCAAAATGGGAACCCACGGCAACTGAATTTTACTCCCAGAATTCACTACATACTCAGTAGACTTCAAACACTTTTAACAAGGGAGGGAAAAGATCCAGAGCTGATACAAGCCTTTAGTATACAACTCTAGTCCCAGCGCTCAGGAGGCAGAGGCAGTCGGATCTCTGTGAGCTCAGCCCAGCCTGGTCCAGGACGGCAGGGCTACACAGGGAAAACCTGTCTCAAAAACAAACAGAAAACAAAAATCCAAACAATAACAACCCCCTGCCTCCCACCCCCCTTCAAAAGTTGGCAGATAGAAAGCTACAGTTTTAAGCTGGCTTGGTAGCCTGAATTCTAGTCCTGGGAAGGCTGGGACAGGAAGATCAGAAATTCAAGACCTGGCCAGGTGTGTTTTTTGCATATTTATTTGTTTGTTGTTTTACAATTATTCACCTTTTAACCTGATGGTAGCCACCCCTCATCCCTTTGCTGTCTCTCCTTCTCTCCCTCCCACTTCTCCTCCCCCTTCCCTAGTCAACTGAACTGGGGAGTACTCCCCCCTTGCCATGTGACCCTAGCCTATCGAGTATCAACAGGGCTGCCTAGATCCCCTTCCTCTTTGGCCAGGTCTCCATGAGGGTTCCCAAGTAAGGTTTTACATATCTTAATCCCAGCACTCAGGAGGCAGAGACAGGAAGATTTCTGTAAACTCCTGGCCTGCAGGGACTTCATCATCAGAACCTAAGAAAGGAAGGTTGGATGGGGAGGAATTACAAAAATAAAAAAATAAAAAATAATTTCATGGGCTGCAGTTGTAGTTCAGTAGGAGATTGATTAATATGCGAAAGCAAGACGCGACAGCCTGGAGCCCCAGAACCCTGAAAACAAAACAAGCCCCCTGTGGTTTTATAAGAAAGGGATTCACAAAGGAACAAGAAATGTGTTGTTTAAATTCAAGTCCCGGGCTCTAATTCTATTCAGAAAAATTTGCAATCTGTTCCTACAGTTGGTTCAGAATTCTCTAGGAATTTCACTTCCCTTTAGCAATAAACTCTCTCTCTGTCTCTCTCAAAAAACAAAAACAAAAAAAATTTTTAAAAACCTTTTAACAGTTGGCAGACAGATATGGCCAGATATGGTCACTATGTAGACCTGGCTAGCCAGAGCTCTCACGCTTTCACGCCTGGCTATATTTACAGTTTTTAATTCCCTAAATATACAGTTGCCAGGAACAGAGCGTGGCGGCTCACACCTCTCAATTGTTGGGGGTGGGATCGGAGGGGAGGGGAAGGGAGGAGGGCGTCGAGGCAACAGGAAGTGGGAGGAGATTGTTAAAAGCAGACTGAGGCCAGAGGTTGTTTGGAAGGTGGAAGAATTTTCTTTTCGGCGGTGTCGTCTAACCTGAAGATGGAGGCTGCTGGGAGAAAGGTGAGCGCAGTTTTTGTGGGTCGGCTTTCTGAATCGGTCGGTCTCAGGCTGCTCGTTTCTGAGAAGAGAATGAACATGACAATTTGTTCCACTTTAACTGTTTTTTTGTAGTTTTGGTTGTCAGCCTAGCCATCTCTCCAGCCCTTGTTTTGTTTTTTAAGGCAGGTGTGGGGCTCGGTGGGCCGACGCCCCGCCGTGGGCTTGCACGAGGCCCTGGTGGACGGCTGCAGAAGACGTGATAGAGGAGGTTGTGGCTTGGAAAGGATGTTTTGCCAGGAAGGAATTTAAGAGTACCACATGGATGGCTGGAGGGAAATGGTTACAGAATAAACTTGGGGCGATAACCTGGGCTTTTGGGGAGCGGTCCACTCGGAAGGAACAAGAGTACCCAGTTACCCTTAGAGGGCCCAAGTCTTAACCCCAAAGTGCCTGCTGTAGGCCTTCTAGGCCCCTTATCTTATCCAAAGGGTCGAGGAATTTCGGGAAGGCAGACAATCCCTGCTGGCCCCTCTTTGCAGGAGCGGGAATCCTGAGCTCTCTCCAAGGCTCTTATCCAAGAATCCACCATTTCCAGCTTTCTCGGGTGTAAGAGTTTTCTGAAGGCCAAAAGTGAATACTTTCTGAAAAGGTTATGCAAATGTGAGTCTTGAATGTCAAAGTGAAGCTAGTTCCGATTGCGAGGTAAAAGTACTGAGATGTAAATAACATCCGAATGCTAATTTGTCACTTACTCCCGATTTGGGGTGGGGGTGGAAAGGACCTAAGTTTGGGAGCAAACTGACCCGTTTTTTGTTGTTGTTGTTGTTGTTGTTGTTGTTCTTTGTTTGTTTGGTTGGTTGGTTTTTCGTCTTTTTTTATTTTTTAATGCGCTCTTGTTTTTGTGTTGGGTTTTTTTTTTTTTTTTTTTTTTTTGTTTGTTTGTTTGTTTCGTTGCTTTCTGTGTTATCCCGGAATATGCTGGAACTCACTCTGTAGATCAGACTGGCGGAGAACTCAAAGATCTGCCTGCCTCTGCTTTCCCGGTGCAGGGATTAAAGGCGTGTGCCACCATTCCCAGCTTTTGTGTTTGGCTTTGTTTATTTTTCCTTTCAGAGAGGGAGTTTCTCAGTAGCCCTGGCTGTCTCGGAACTCGATCTGTAGACGAGGCTGGCCTCAGAGCAGCTTTGACTGTGCCTGGGGTGAGCTGGGATGAGCTGGGATAAAGGCACCACCCGGTTTTAATGAACTTTTAACTTTCGGCCCTCTATGTGGAAAATACAGTAGTGGTTGAGAAGTTATATGAAGAGTAAATGAAGGTAAGGAGTGTGTTTAGTCTGGTATGTGCTAGAAGAGGTCCAAAACTCTTATCCAATACTGTTTTAGTTTTTTGTTTGTTTGTTTGGTTTGTTTTGTGGTCTCTGTTCCCTTAATTAAACCTGTTCATTACTGAGTGCCAGCAATGGAAGGGAAAGAGACTCTTGTGGAGTTTAAAATCAGGTGGAACGGTTGACATAACCTTGTAGAGAAGTGTAGAAGGCTGCAGTTGACAAGCGGAAATGAGGCAGTATGTGGTAGTCGGATTTGTCTGGGAAGACAGTCTAGCAAAATAACTCTTGAATTGAGACTCGGAGGGGAGTAAGGTGGAAGCACTGTAACAGAAATGAACTGAGACTAATGTTTCGCTAGGCGGTGACAGCTGAAAGTGAATAGTGCCCCTTGAGCCTGGGGCATGCGTGGGGGGCTGCAAAGAGAAATCGCCCATGGAAGGGATGGAATGTTCTTGGTATATCACTCTGGGTACAAAATCTTTGGATGGGCCTAGAACCAAGTACTGGGGGGAAACAATCTTTGGGGCTGAGAGGTGGATGGGGTAAGATGTGGGTTCTGTCTTCCAAAAGCCGACTTAACCGGTACTTAACTGGTTTTGTTACTTTCTTCTATTCCTTTGTTCTTTATCTACCTTATCTTGTACTTTTAGTTGTGTTCTGTAGCCTAAACTTGACCTGAGGCTCATAACGGCTTCTAACCCTTGGTGATTCTCCTTAATTTGCCGCTCAGGCACTAAGACCACAGCTACTGCAACTTTTTCCTTTAAGATAGCCTCACAAAGGCAGGTGTGGCTCATGCCTTTAATAGGCGGAGCTCTGAGTTCAAGGCCAGCCTTGTCTACAAAGCTAGTTCCAGGACAGCCAGGGCTACACAGAGAAACCCTGTCACTAAAATAAAAATAAAAAAAACAACTTAACAGGCCAGCCCAGTCTAGATCCTAGACTGGTAGCTGTGTGCTACCAGGTGTATTTTTTGTTTTGTTTTGTTCTATTTTGGATTTCTCTCATTTCTCCACAACCAATGTTTCACTATTTTTATAACTCAGACTGCCCCATAAAACTTCACACTGGCAGTCCTGTGCTGGGACCTCTTGGAGACCTCAGGTGTGAGTTGGTTTGGAGCGAGTAGGGGAAGTGCTGGCCTAAGACACCAGATAACTGTCTGACCCACTCCTGTCCACAGCGGAGCAGCACAGAAGAGGCGAGGGAAGAAGTGGAGCACCAGATGTCTAGTCAGCCGAGCACGTCTTCCGCAAAGGCTCCAGCAATGGGGAAGAAACAAAAAAAGTCAGTGAAAGACAATGGTAAGAGCCTGGAAATGCTTTAGTTCACGTCTTTTCTTTGCCTAAGAAACATTTCTGCCCTTTTGCTAGCTCTGTACTTTCTCTGAGGTCCAGCTGAGCCCTCACCTCTTTAAAAATATACAAACAAGGGGGCTTCCCAGCTCTTGTCAAAGCTAGTTCTTTCCATCATCAGATTCCTATGACTTGGCTCAGATAGTCATTTCTCTTGGGGCCTAATAGGGGCAATGTCTGGGGACCATTTGCACTCATTATCCTAAAACTAAGTGATAAAAGAGGTGGGACTGAGGGGATGGAGGTGATCCTGCATGTACTCTGATGGTGCTTACTGTCAGCACAGACTTTCTGTCTTGACGTGTTCTAGAATCCTACAGAATTGTGACGGAAGCACAGAGGCTGGAGTGCCGCTGTGACTCAGGGTGGGGGGTGGGAAGGCAGTTAATTTTCTTAAGCACCAGGCAACTCAGAGTATTGATAAACTCAGATCTAAGGCTTTGGTCAGTTTCCTGGGATAGAGTGGTCACCAACTCCATTCTTTATTGGAGAATCAACAAAGAATCTTGGAGGCGCAAGGACATTGAGATTTGAAAGTCCAGGCTTTGAGGTCTGTCCCCTGGACTCTTTATTGTGTCGTTTAAAGCACCTCTACATCAAGGGATCACCCCACACCTAGAGAACCAAAAATGAGTATGCGATTCGAATTCTATACAGCTCTGCAAAAAATTTCCAACGCTATTCCTCTTGTCCCTCAGGTCATAAACCAGAGGAAAAAACACAGGATCCTGAGACTCCAGGTCGCGCTCGTAGGAAGGTACCAATTCCTCCTTGTCCAGAACATCTGCCTCCGGTGAACCTGATTCATCGAGATGTTTTGCGGGCGTGGTGCCAAGAGAGGAAGCTGAGCTCCAAAGGACAGGTGGGGCCCCAGTGGGGGCCTCTTATTGCTGAGCGGGAGTGTTGGAACCGAACTTTCACTAACAACTCTCTTTTGTTGTTGTTTTTTTTTGTTGTTGTTGTTGTTGTTGTTTTTTGGTTTTTTTGTTGTTTTGTTTTTTGTTTTTGTTTTTTTTGTTTTTTTTTTTTTTTTTTTTTTTTCCTGTCTTAGAAATTAGAGGCTTATAAACGACTCCTTGCAGGGGCTTTCCCAAAGCAAATGGTAAATATTTATTTATTGAGACTATTTCGTATTAGCCTAGGCTAGTCTGGCAGTCTGTATGTGAAAGCAAAGTTGCTTCAAACTCAAGGTCTACCAGCCTCCCATCGATCAAGATTGTAAGCATGAACTGCCCTGCATGTCTGGCATGTAACTTTGTACTTATAAGGGGTAGTGTCGGAGGGAGAGGTTTGGTTCTTCTAGTAACCGTCTTTACTCGTCAGAGAGTGAGTTGAGGAATTGTCTTGATCCCTTCTTCCCCCTCTATCTCCGATTTGAAGAGAGAGCATGAAGTAATAAAACTTCTTTTCATTTTTGGTGCTGGAAAAGAATATAAGGTTTTAATGCATGTTCTACCCCTGAGCTGCACCCCTATCCCTAAACCCCCACCCCCTCCTCTTTTTTTTTTCTTTTTTTTTTTTTTTTTTTTTGAGTCTGTATGTACCCACACTGGCACACTGGTCTCTGGTTCCACCTCCCACCCCACTGTAGCCACCTCACTCTAGGAGCATTAGAATGAAATTACAGATGAGAGCCGCTCCCCATAGCTTTTTATATATGGATTATTAGATCTTCTCACCATGTCTTCTGCCCCCCCCCCCAACCGAGCTGTCAGCTCTTAATATTTCCCATTATCAATAATGTCCTAGACTGAATTGAAGAATGTTCCTGACTCGCCAAAAGAGGCCAGGGTGAAGGCATCTGGGAAAAAACTGAAGACAGAGGCGGTGGTAGAGCCGTGTTCTGAGGTGACAGTTCCCCTTGAGATGGTCCCTGTGCCGGAAGATCAGGTACCTGCCCTGACTGACCCTCCGGTTCTCTATGAGGAAGTCAGCACCACCTTTGTGGCCACAGCAGCCTCTGAGGCAGTGTTGGCGTCTTGGGCCAGAATTGCAGCCAATGCTAACAGGATCGAGGCCGTGCCGAACAGCGCCACACCAGACGCCCATGGTAAGTCAAAGTTTAGAATCCATCACAACCGCCAGTGCTTCATGGACCTCAGCCATCCTGTTATTTCTAAGTCTAACCTGGGTAGGCCCTAAGACCTAGTCTTCCTTGGGTTTGTTGAGAGAAGAATCTTTTGCTGTTTCAACATGGGGTTTCTCTGTGTAGCCCTGGCTGTCCCTGAAACAAGCTCTATAGACTAGGCTGGCCCCACTCTCAGATCCTCCAGCCTCCCCAGTGCTAGGATTAAAGACATGCACCTCTGTACCTGGCTGAGACAAGGATCATGGAGTATAACCCAGGCAGGCATACCTCCTTTTGCCTTGCATTTCTATCAGCCACCCAAGCAATAATGAAAATGTTGGTCCAGGGAATCACTGTGAGAATTACTTCAGATTACTCACATACAAAGCAAAAGGCAATGTGCTTGGTGTCATTTCTTTCATTAAAGAATTTGAAGTGAGAGTCTGAAAATAACTCTCTGGGATGTAGACTGGGATCTCTTGGCATCTGTTAAATTGGTGACATTAGCTATTCCTAGTTTGTTATTATAAAATAGAGGTAACTCATTAGACATGTCACAAACCTGTGATCCCAGGGTCTGAGTAGGAGGCTCAGGAGTTTGAAGTCAACCTGAGCTACATGAGACTTCCAAAACAGTAATAATAATAATAGAGAGCTGGGTGTAGTGGTACCCACTTGGGAGGCAGAGGAAAAGCAGGCGGATCTCTGAGTTAGAGGCCAGCCTGCTCTACAAAGGGAGACCAGGACAGCCAGGGCTACTCAGAAACCTTGTCTTGAAAGGTGCAAGGCAAAAAATGCAATGAAGAAATTATGCCTATCAAGATACAGTAGGTATTAAAGTCTGATTCTAGAGCTGGAAAGATGGCCCAGGGGTTGAGCACATTTTGATCTTGCAGAGGACTCAAAAGAGACAGAAAAAGGGAGCTCTCTGACTCCTAGACCCCATTTCATGAAAAGCCTTGTTTTCTGGGGGGTCCCTGCTCCCATCTTGTTTTTGAAAATAGGGTTTCTTCTTTTTTAATATTTTTTTAAAGATTTATTTATTATTATTTATTATTCTGCCTGTACACCAGATCTTACTATAGATGGTTGTGAGACACCATGTGGTTGCTGGGAATTGAACTCAGGATCTTTGGAAGAGCAGCAAGTGCTCTTAACCTCTGAGCCATCTCTCCGGCCCCGAAGACAGGGTTTCTTTGTAACTGGCTGTCCTGGAACTAAATTCTATGGGCCAAGCTTGCTTCTGCCTCCCTAGTGTTGGGATTAAAGGAGAATGACACCACCTCCTTGAAATTTTCTGGGAGTTTTGTTTGGTGTATGTGTGATGTGCTGGACTCAGGCTAAGCAAATACTGTACCAGTGAGCTACCTCTATAGCCCTAAAGCATGAAGGTTTCTCACATACTTTCGTAGTAGTGAACAAGACGGATTGAGATAAAGGTTGGGTTCCCAGTCTTCTCTTAGGGCTGGCATTTCAGAGAGGCATTGAGTCTAGGCTGAGACTCTGTGATCCACCCATCTTGTGCCTGAGCGAGTGGCTGTGGTGTGATTATCTAAAATCTCTTTGCTTCCACAGGGGAAATGTGGTGTGTGGTTCATGGGAGAAGCTTTTCTTCAGACCCACGTGGCTGGGTTCGCCTGCATTTCCATGCCGGACAAGCCTGGGTACCTGATAAGAAAGGAAAAGTGGTTGCCCTCTTCCTGCTCCCAGCTTGTACCTTCCCACCCCCACACCTGGAGGACAATATGCTGTGCCCCAAGTGTGTTCACAGGTGTGTGCTATGCCAACATCCTGACTGTGGGCACTTGACTTTTAAGTTTCCTGGAGGAAAGATTAATTTTAACAAGCTAGCTGTGTTTGGGTGTTATCTTGCTAGTGTAATTAAACCCCCACAAGGCTGTTTAAATATGTAGATCAGGCTGAACTCGAAACAGTCTGCCTGCCTCAGCCTCCCACTTGCCATTAAGCCTAGCTAACACCTCTTTGATTTGTATTGTGTAGTTAGGCAGGGTTTGATCTCTTGTTGGGAGATGGCTCAGTTCATAAAGGTGCTCGTTACCAAGCCTTATGTATGGCCTGAATTTGAGTCACAGGACATATATGGTAGAAGAATTGAACCAGTTCACAAAAGTTGCTCTCCGATGGTCATGTGCATCACAGCATCTTCATGTACACACACAGGACATATGTAATTTAATTTCTTTTCCCTTGCCTCCATCTCCTTACAATTGAGTGTCTTTGAGTAGATGGAAAAGAAAACTAAAATCACCTTTCCTGGGGGCGGGGGGTGCCAAGACTGGAAAGAAAGAAAAAAAAACTAAAAATATTATTAAAATTACTCTGGCCTGAGCTGGGCAAGGTGACTGCATGCCTGTAATTCCAACACCCAGAGGCAGAGGCAGGCAGATCTCTGTGAGGTCTACAAAGTGAGTCTAGGACAGGCAAGGCTACACAGAGAAGCCGTCTCGAAACACAGGAAGAAAGAAAGAAGAAAAACATTACTTTGGCAGTTAGGATTAGCTTAAGCAAAATTTGCCTTTGAACATTACAGATTTGATAACAGATGTTGAATGGAACTGATTCTTTGGTAAGATTTCAGTCAACCGTGAGCTGGGTATGGTAGTGCTTGCCTATCACTAGGAGGATTTAGTGTATAAAAGGTTTTGTGGTTTTGTTTTAAGTCAATAGAACTGAATGATTTTGTTTGCTTTTGTTAAGACAAGGTCAACAATACGGACCAGGCATAGGAGGGGCCACAGTCTGCCTAGGGTAGAGCCAGGATCAATTAGCTAATCTGCCTTCTTTGACCTTCTCAAAGGCTCTATTCGCAGTCCTTAAGCTCTCTTGTTCTGTGGTGCTTAAACTTGAACCAAAGCGTTTACCACTGAAAATTTTACTTTGACACTGGGTCTTACTGGGTAGCCCTGCCCTGACTGGCCTGGAATTCACAGAAATCTGTGTTGCCTCTGGCTGCCAAGTGTTAGGATTAAATGTGTACCAGTCCTGATCCTAGAGTTTTATGGCTCTTATTGGTGGTATCATTGACTTTTTTGTTTTGTTTTGGCTTTTTTTTTTTTTTTCTTTTCATTTTGAGGGGTTTTCTGGAACCCAGGCTTGCCTAGAACATACAGCTGAAGCCAGCCTCAAAGTTCTGGTTATTCTGTCTCTACTTTCTGAGCATGGGATTGTGGGTGTTCCCCTAGCCCTGGCTTATGCTGTGCTAGGGATCAAACATGCATGCATTCCCAAATGATCTTGTCTATTTTAAAGGTAGAGGTTGGGGTGACTCTTCTTTGGGATGACTCTTCTGTATGACATACCTGTAGCCCCTAACACTTGAGATGCTGGGTTGATTGGATATTCAGGACAAGCCTGATCTACCTGAGACCCAGTTGGGCTTGGAGCAAGGGATGGAGTGAGAGGTGGGAAAGGAGGACAAGAATGAATGAATGAATGCATGTTTACATTTGTTTTTTAGGAACAAGGTTTTAACTAAGAGTCTCCAGTCATAAATGGAGGATCTCTTAGGTTTGGGCTAGCTACTGGCATCACCCACAGAACTGCAGCTGACCCTGAAGCCCACAGCTTTGCCTTTGAAGGTGCCCATCTCACTCAGGAATTATGGAACGTTGTTGGTTAAGTATAAGCAGCTTGGAAAAAAGATCAGTGAGGCCACCAGGCCTACCTCTACTCTGCCCTTGAACCCTGGGAGTGGCCTTCTGCTCTTGTGTGAAGATAAGAAAGCATCCTACTTATTTTGCTGTAAGGAGGTCCTGGGGCAGCTCCTATCACCGACATAGCAAAGTTCAGCAGTCATCTGTAAAGACTTATTTAGCCTTGCCTGTAACCTCCGCGTGCCCTCTCCTCTAGGTTGTGTTGTTTTATTAGTGTTTAGGACTTGGGTTTGTTTTTTTCCGTTGTTGCAAAATAATATACCAGATTTGGTTTGTGGCTTTTGATTTTATTGTTTCTTTTCTTGTTTGACTAATTACTTTTTCCCTGAATTCCTTCTGCTGCTCTCTAGAGGCAATGTTTAAAAGGACTTTCGAATAAATAACGCTTGGAGCCGAAGAGGGCAGGATGGGGCCACCATCCCATGGCGGGAAGAGACAGTCCACTGACTCCGCTGTGTCGAGGGTGTCACGGGAGTGAACACCATCACCGCTTTCTGTCCCCTTGTGCCAGGCATGTACAGTTATTCTGAAAGGTGTTGAATGCACAACAAACTTACCTGTTGCCTGGCTGCCCTGGAGGATTAAGTTAGGAAGGAAGGTTTCTGTGAGGTTGATAGGTTCCTCTACAGGTGTCACCTGTTCATATTTGATGATGTCATACACTAAACTGCCACCCCCACTTGTGCCTCCCTTTCTTGTCCGAAGTGGACGTGTTGCTGGAGGGTCAGTACTCCATGTGCCTTGGATGAAGCCCATGACAGAAGGATGGCTGGTCTGCTGATCCTCCTTTTGGGGGTCAAGATAAGGTTTGCACTTCAGTATTCTATCTGAATGTAGAGTCCAACCACCCAGACAGGGCACTGCCCACAAGTGTGTGTGGAGGGGGGGGGGGTCATTCCTGCATGTAGATCACAGTAGGAATCAGAGCACGTGATATCTGTAGACAGCCCAGCCCTCCCTTTTCCCTCTAAAAGGACATGGAAAGTTCCAAGAGTGGGTACAGAAGTCAGGGGACCTGCCAAAACATTGCTGGGGAAAAGTGAGTCTTCGTAAAGAAATCCCGTGTCCTTGTTGGCAAGGCATGAGTGGATGTGCCCAAGCATTTCTAGCCAGGAGTGGTGGGAATGGTGAACAAGGTATAATTTTAAGTAAATTTAATAAAATTCCTAAGATTATGCCAATAAAAATCTGTATTTTGTCAGGTGGAGCTGACACAGAAACCCTGTCTCAAGAAAACACAAAACCAAAAAAAAAAAAAAAAGAAAAGAAAAACAGCAGAAGGAAAGTCATGTGTGTTCAAGGCCTCCCTGGCCTACACAGAGAGTACACGCCAACTGGGTCAATATGGTGACTGTCTCAATGAAAAATGCTAAAGTAAATTAGAGCCTTAGTGTGCATTCGGTCTCCAGTACCACTAGCCACCAAACTGTTACCCCCAAGACACTTTAAGCATATCAAGGCCACATTAGGAATGGTAGAAAATGTGTCGTTGTGGCATAATGGAACATAACAGTTATTAACTGATAAGTTATTTGTCAGAAAGGATTTAATGTGAATCTAATCATGAAGCAATCAGTCCTGATTATTATACTTGTCGTCAGAATAATTACTAGGTGAGCCTAATAGTTTCTCTCCCCCCCCCCCCTTTTTTTTTTTCTGTTTCTGACATTCTTAAATAGACCTGAATTTTTGATGGCGGGTTAAATTGGCACACTGTTCGAATAGCTTGCTCACAGTCTCCTTTATAAAAATCTCTTCATACCAGTATTATTGAGTCTTATGTGGAGTGGTAGGTTCTTCTGAAACCTAATCCCTATGTAAACTGCAGAAGGCTGCACAAGAAAAGAGTAATTTGCCTATGCCTTACACACACCCATTTAGTGCCTGCAGAAGAGAACATCACATTCCATGGAGCTATGTGGAAAAGCAGTAGGCACTCTAGCCACCGACACATCTCCAGCTCACGTATCTAGTTTTCCTTTGTTTTGAGGTGGTGTCTCTGCATCCTAGGTTAGTCTTGAACTTGCTTTTCAGCTCAGGCCATCCGCAAACTCACCTGCAGCTTTCCTGCCTCTATTTCCACAGGGCTGGGATTATAGCCATGAGCTGTCTAAAGCCTTTAATGTTAATTTTTTTCCAGGTTACTGGGGAGAAACGGTGTGATGTGCGGTGCTGAAGTGCTATCTCGCATGAAGCCTTATGTTGGGTCGACACTAACTAATCTATAGTGGCCCTCACCTGTAATCCCAGGATTAAGGCAAAGGCCAGGAGTATCAGAAGTTCAAAGTCCTCTTCAGACTGGTTATATAGAATGGATACAGTAGAGAAATTATTTTAAAACAATATTTATTGGGCCAGTGATGTGGCTTAGGTAAAGGTGCCTGACACCAAAGCCTGAACATCTGAATTTAGTCCCCCAGATCCACATGATAAAAGGAAAAAACAATATGTGAGTTTTTCAGTGGCTACTTGTGGTTATGCATGCTTTGAATCCCAGCTGGGTTCTACATAGCAAGCTCCAGGACAACAAGGACTGCTTACAGAGAACCTGTCTCAAAAGTTGTGTTTTTATTTGTTTATGACCTCCACATATACACTACAGCACATGAGAAATACAAACAGTACTAGCAGTTGGGTAATGGGATGCACTTCGGTCTCAACTGATAGATAGGAATGGTGAGACAGGGTGTCACTGTAGAGCCTTGATTAATCTGGCCTCAAACTAAGAGTCCACCTGCCTGTCTTCCAAGTGCTGGGATTAAAGGTTGGCTCTTCTACACACAACAGAATTTGATTTTTTAAAATTTGGAAAAGCAGAAAAGACCCCTGTACCCAGATATATTTGGTCCTTGTGGAGCACAGAGGTCTTTTCTGAGACTGATACTCCACTAAGGACCATGTATGGATATAACCTAGAACGTCTGCTTGGATATAGCCCGTGGTAGCTCAGTAACCAATTGGTTTCCCATAGTGAGGGGAACAGGAACTATTTCTGACAGGAACTCAATGGCTGGCTCTTTGACCTCCCTCCCCCACCCCCCAAGGGAGGCTCAGTCCTGTTAGGCCACAGAGGAGGACTTTGCAGCCAGTACCTGATAAAACAGGATCAGATGGAAGGGGAGGAGGTCCTCCCCAATTACTGAACTTGGAAAGGGGCAGGGAGGAGCTGAGGGAGGCAGGGTGGGATTGGGAGGGAATGAGGAAGCAGGATACAATATTAATAAAATATAATAAAAATTATAGTAAATTATAATAAATTTTAAAATGCAAAAATTTTGGGAAAGCACTCAACTGAATACGTGAAAAGATCCCCCTGGAAATAAAGTTGGGCTGTGACTGTGGTCTCGTGGAGCTCATTCTGAGGAAAAGCCAGATGGCCCCCCAAGCCTTTTCTTTCTTCCTTCTGCCTCCCTCCTCTCTGACATCCCCTCCAGCAACCTTGCCCTTCATTCCATACTCAGACCAAATCCACTGTACAGCCTTATCTTGGTGTGCCTTCCAGATGTCACCTCTTTCAAACTGCAGGCCTTAAAGATGCCTCATTGGGAAGTGTTGATGGCTGCGGCTGGAGTGGGCGAATGCCTGGAACCCAAGTGCAACAACACTTTGCACTTGTTCTTTGTCCAAGCTGTGCACTTCAGCCTGAACTTGCAGTTGGCACCTCCTGCCTTCTTTACACTGCCTCAGGTCATTGTTTGACTTCTTCCTCTGAGTGTAAAGGTCCCACATCTAAGTCTTGTTTCTTTGCCATAAGGCCTGCAATGAGGGAGAATGACCTTGAGGTCCTGATTGCCCTGCCTGCAATGCCTGTGTGCTGTTTCACCTGAAGCTCTTTTTCCCCCATGGTGCTATGGACACACTCAACAGCCTTAGATATGCAAGGAAGTATTCTAGTCCTTGAATCTCATAACAGCCTCCTAGAACAGAGATCTAATGCTCGGTAGATGTTGGTTCATCTTCCAGGACTGAAAATAACTACAAATGTTTGCAACCCTTTCCCCCTTAAAAATACTGAAGGGTAAGAATTGTTAGCTACAGCCTGGAGCAGTGGCACATGCCTGTAATCCCAGCACTCTGGGAGCCAGAGGCAGGCAGATCTTTGTGAGTTCAAGGTCAGCCTGGTCTACAAAGTGAGTCTGATAACCAGTTCTACACAGAAAAACCCAGTCTTGAAAGCGCAAAAAAAAAAAAAAAAAAAAAAGTTCTCCTGGACCATGCATAGTCCAATCTCTTTTGACTGGGCAAGGATGGTGCACTCCTGTAATCACAGGACTAGGGAGGCAGAGGCAGGCCAGCCTGGTCTATAGACTGAATTCCAGGACAGGCTATACAAAGAAACTCTGTCTCAAAAAGCCAAAACAAACAAACTCAGGGAGCTGGAGAGATGCTTTTTCAGTGGACCTGGGTTTAATTCCCAGCACCCACATAGCAGCTCCCACATGTCTATAACTCCAGTTTTAGACCATTGAACACCTTCACACAGACAAACATGCAGGCAACACACCAATGAATATACAACAGGAAAAGGTGCTTTGCGACCTGAGTTTGACCCTGGAACCCAAATCGTAGAAGGAAAAAACTGACTCCCAAAAGTTGTCCTCTGACCTTCACAATTCCCTATGGCGCACACACAGGCATAAGTAAATGTAGTTTTTTAAATCTCAGGCTTGGAATAGTGGTACACACCTGTAATCCCAGCTCTTAAACTGGTGCAGGATATAGGGCTTGAATCCAGCCTGGGGCACATATGTTGCTAGGGGAAGATCTTTTCTCTAATATGTGTGTGTGTGTGTGTATATATATACAAGAATACATTCATTCGAGAATAAATATTTGTC